GAGCTGATTTGTGCTGGTCGCTGAGGAAATACATCAACTTCACGCTGTGGATCGCCGGATCAGTTTTCACCGTGGACGAAGCGGAGTCCAGCCCGGGCTCGTCACATGTGATTGCCGCAAGCCCGCCGGCCACTCCTTCGTCTAATCCGCCAGCCGCGCCGTTCTGAAGCCCGCCGTGTGTGACGCTGTGTGTTTCGTTGTGAAAGCAAAACTACTTTGTTTGGCCTTCCAAAAGAGGACACGACCAGAAATCAGTGGTTAAGTTGTATTTACAACACTGTTCCAGAACAGTTCAACCCAAATATTCAGATGTGTGCAGCGCATTTTATGGAGGACTGTTTCCTGATCCTGGGAGAGTAGACTACAATGCCGGCTGTTCTGACTCACAGACTGTAAGTACGTTTTCATATTTAAAGAATTTGCCACTGATGATTCAAACGCGAGTTTTGAGCAGTGTAGAGTAGCGCTTGTTGTTTGTCGTTTTACCTTAAACCGCATAAACACATTTCATTACACCAAATACACAAAATAATGTTCTTTTTAGCAGCATCATATGACCCCTTTAAGAAGGGCACATATGACTTTTGGTTGAGTCATTGGTTAGAACATGATGTTATAAGTAGGCTATTAACCTTAATGTTAAATCTGAAATGTAAGTATGAAGGAGACCAGTCCATGATGTTTATAAAGACTGTAGGGGTTAAATTGTCACAATGGGAACCGTGAATGAATAACTTGAAGGGTTTGATACAAAATATCAAATATTTGGTTTAGCCAACAGATATTTTAAATAATGAATTTTATGAAATTACAAACTTCGAAACGTATGACAATTTGACATTTATGAAACATTCAAGTGAACAGTTCGACCTTTAGGTTAAATCTACCTTCATTAGTCAACTTTTGCCTGAATGTTTGTTTGCTTATTTATTGTTTGTATATTAGAAAAATATAATACTGTAGGCCTAATGTACGTTTGGAGGTTTAAAGGTTTATGGTTTGTTTTGAAATAGGTATTTGAAATCTACAGAACCAGAGAAAACACATTTGCGTAATTAGACTTTCAACGCCAAACCTTATCTAGTGTGATGCCGCTCCTGTGACAACTAGCCCCGCACTACCCAACATTTGAACGTAATAAATGTAAATCTGAAATCTTTCAGAACTGGGCGGCCCAATCGCATTAGTGATGAATAGCATCATTTTTCCATTGGGTGGCGCTGATCGGGCTCGCGCAGATGGAGGGATGAGTCTCATCACATGGTCCATATGCCCGGAGAAAGTGAGCGATCATCTCAGCCTCTGCGCTCTCGAAACTCAATCAGAGTAGGCGGCAGTACGCGCGCTCCACAGCAGATGAACTGAGAGCACAAGACCAGCCGTGATGCTCAGCCTGCAGCTGTGTGCGCTGGAGGAGAGCTGAGGAGCTGTGATCATGCCGGAGAAGAGCGCACAGTAGAAGTCTTCTCACTGAGGATGGCAGGGATGCTGCGCGCCGCATCACTCTCTCTGGCTCTGTGAAACAGCGCACGGTAAGCGCGCTTCATCTTCCCTCACTGATCATGTCATGAGATGTTGAACTTTGAGCTGTTTTGTCTGTCATTTGAAGACGTTTTTTGTGTTTGGCTCGGCGGGTTGTTGATCAGAACTTTATGAGACTTATCAGGTTTGTCACTTTATATAACTATGGTTCTGTATAGCCTAAATATGCTGTTTGGTTTCAGACACCAGGCAATAGCAGCCTCAGTCAGTCTAAAACAGGATTAGGGCTGTGCTGAGATCTTTTTCAGTAGACTGGAGATCATTGAATGGGTATTCTGAGCTCATATTGATGTTCTTATTGATTCTGTAGTTTCTTGAGAGGGGTGGTGAAGAGGAAGATACAGTGCTGAGAGTAAATTAATGAGGTAAAGATGGTTTAAAGTGTGTCCTGAATGAGCGTTGAAAGTGAATTTTGGCTTGTCCTCTTCTACTGATAAAAAAAAAAAACTACCAAAAAGTACTACGGTACAACCTATTCTTCTGGGCATCCTATCATGGTTCTATCAAGCCTTTTTTGGGTCATGTACTATATACTGTCATAATCTGTTGGATATGCTGCATGGTACATGTTTTTGGGATGGGACCATAACACCATGGTTTTATGTACATTTACCATGGTATTTTGAATATGTGCCTTGTGCCACCATCCCTTACAAAAAGTATTTTGGCAGTACCATGGTACATTGATTGTAATACTATGGTACTTTGAAATATTTATGCTTATTTCATTATAAATAATGGTATCCACAGTACATCCAAGAATACCATGGTAGTACCATACATAGCACACATCTAAAAACCATTGTAGTACCATTCTATATATTTTTTTGCAAGTTATGTATTTTGGACATCTTTTAGTACCATGGTATGCACAGTATCAATAGTACTAATATTTCATAGTATTAATATCTGATGGCATTACTCTACCAATGTACTGTTGTTGTAAGGGATACTATTTAATGTAGTTAATATCATTACAGCGTGTTTAGTTTATTTTTTGCACCTGTGATAAAGCAGCATCTTTCATAGTGTCTGCATTTTGGGAGAGCAATTAATGGTGTGATCTCTAAGTGTTAAGTTATTCCTCCTGGCCCAGCGGGATAGACTTTATTCAAGCAAGAAAGTGCCTTAACACCGAGAGCTTATGCCTCCCAGTGCACGCTGACCGAGAAACTGCGCGAGTCTGTCCGATACAGTAAATATGGATGAATGAAATCCTCTTACACTGCAGCTCAAACTCACTGTGTGTGAGTGTATGAGAGAGATATGCTCTCTACTGAGGGCTTAGTGACTGATGAACTGTCTTTTGCACCTAATGTCAACTGTGTTGATTTAAGCAGCACAATTATGAGTCAAATGTCATAAGCAGAAATAAATATTTGTACATTTCAGAATTAAGTTGCAGGATTATACAAGCTTGTCTAAAGGGCCAGGACAGAAATCACCCATTCCCATGTCTAATTTTGGTCATTTTAATCAAGTCACACCTTGTACAGATAATTTACTTTAAATTTGTCATAATCCACCCACTCTTACTGTATGTCACTCAAAACTCAAAAATTATTTTCCTGTACAACACAAAGAATTATTATCAAAATAGCAAAGCTGCTGATGATCACTGGTTGTCAAGTTCAGCTGCAAATAATTTTGATTGATAAAATACTGATTTGTTGTGAAATACAAACAACAACAACAATATATTATATATTAATAATTACTACTACTACTACTACTACTATTATTATTATTTATTATTATTAATAATATATTATTGTTTTTGTATTTCACAAGAAATTGTAATTATTTAATAAAGGAATATTATTATTATTATTTATTATTATTATTATTTATTATTATAATGATTATTGTAGTTTGTATTGTTGTCTTATGTTAATAATAATAATAATAATTATTATTATTATTATTATTATTATTATTATTATTATTATTATTATTATTATTATTATTATTATTATTATTATTATTATTATTATTATTATTATTATTATTATTATTATTATTATTATTATTATTATTATCATCATATTGTTTTTTGTATTTCACAAGAAATCATAATTTATTTAACAAATCAAAATTATTATTATTATTATTATTTGTGTTTGTATTTGTATTTGTATTTGTATTTCACATAGGGCACCACGTAAACCAGGACTGCCACTGGCACCCCCTCCAAAAAAATAAATCGATAAATAAATAAATAAATAAATAAAAGGCCACCTTTCTTTCTTTTGCACACATTTTCAATCAAGTCCACATATAAACTTTAAACATGGCAAGACCCTTTAAGGGCCCACCGTTTTTTTTGCTTGACTCTTATATATTAAACATGCCACATCCTTACAGACAGGCTACAGTGGCTGCATTTTTAACCACATGACCAGAGTCTGTGTTGTGTGACGTGACAGACCGTCATGCTGTCACAGCAGGATGCAGAAACTCGCTCACTGTGGGTTCAGCTAAGTGTTTGAAAGGTGCACGAATGGGTCAGTTTGTACGCAATATATGTATTTCCTGTAGACGCTCTCTCACATGTGCTGTGCACAGACAGGGTTTAATATGCACGCCATGCACTTCTGCCCCCGTTGATGTCAAAGTAGATTCAGGATCAAGTAACACTCATATACTCCTCTGTATCTTAAGACAGATATGAGCTGAGAGAGAGAGAGGGAGGGAAAAATGAATAGTCCCTATGGATTAGAGTGGAATATGTGTGACGGAGGGTAAAGGGAGGGTTTAGGGCACCAGACGCACTGTCTGTATGAAAATCCCTTAATAATTAACACTACACAGGCCACGAGGATAGAGGAAGGGTACAAACGGATGGAAACCCACTGCGTACGTGACAATTACGTAGAGTGGTCAACATGTTAACTAGAACGAATGAATTCTTCTGAGAAGTGTTGGGGGATCTCCCAAAATGAATGAAACATTAAGCTCTTTTTAAAGGTTCTTCAGTGTGTCATCTTAAAGGGATAGTAGACCAAAAATGAAAACCTCATGTTGTTCTAAACCTGTATGACTTACATTCTTCTCTGGAACATAAAAAAGATATTTTGAGAGATGTCTTATTTATGTCTGTCTGTCTGTCTGTCTGTCTATCTATCTATCTATCTATCTATCTATCTATCTATCTATCTATCTATCTATCTATCTATCTATCTATCTAT